ACTTATTGAGATTGCCTAAATTGATTGTAATAACCTTTAAAAAAAATTGTTGAAAGATATTGAGACTATATAATATTTAATTGAGATTGCATTGTAATAACCTTAAATATTATTTATTAGGAATGTAATACTTAATTGGGACTTCCTAAATTGGTTGTAATAACCTTCAAATATTCTTGATTGAGACTACATAACACTTGTTGGGACTGCCTAATTTGATTGTAATAATAACCGCATGTATACTATATTAATTAACACTCTACAATACATTATTGGGACTGCCTAATTTGATTGTAAAAACATTTATATATCTTGATGGCAACTACACAATACTTATTAGAACCACCTAATTTGATAATTACGCATTGAGAGCATACCCTTTTATTTTTTTTAAAAAAATTATTTATTTGGGATTACACTATAATTGTTTGGACATTCTAATTACATTATTAGGGGTGAGCATGAGACGGATACTTGTACTGTTAGTACAAACGGTTCAGGTAACCGAAAACCAATATCACTAAAAGTACCCGGATTTTCAAAACGGTGTTATCGAGTATCCAAAGATATCCAATAGTGATAATTAAATTTAATAATGTAGTTATTATGATATCATTTAACACCAATTAATAACAATACCACATTATCTTGGCCAAATTATTAATAATATTACTAATCATTGATATTATAAAGTGATTATACTCGTATGAAGTAATGTCAGAGTTTATATTTTGGAAAAATAAATTAAGTAGGTAATAAAACAAAAAATCGCTTATCAGGTCGAATCAGATAACCGTTAATTTTAAAATGATACCCAATTAGCCCAAATTCCCAAATCCTATGAAATCAAAATGATGGTCTATTACAAGATTTTCTTTAATAAAGAGTCCATATATATATTCCGTCTAGTATTTTTATTAAATTTTTTTATATTGACTTTTTTTACTATTTACATGTTTATTTTGATCATATATACTGTATAACTTTGTATATTATTTTTATCATGGAGATATCTTTCAAATATACTTAATTTTATTTATTTTTTTATTTTATTGAAATAATTTATAATTTTATTCTGTAGACACTTTTTTAGTCGTGAAATCAACTATATATTTAAAGATAATTAGATTAACAATTGTGGAATTGAAGTTGTATATTAGCAAATGTAGAAGCCAATAAACTGTAGTTATTTAGAACAATAAAAATTAACAAAAACTTTTGTATACATCCGGTTTACACTAATATTAGTGTGCATCGAGCAATATAAGGGTAACTTTTAGCTAATTTTAGGGTAACTTTTTGTCTTTTTTTGGGTAACTTTAAACATAATACAATTTTTATATAAATCAACAACAATAAAAGTTTTATAAAGGTATTTTAATTACAATCAATCACTAATAATTGATTTTTAGTCATTTAAAATGTGATTCTTTACTAATAAAACGTAGATAATTTTTATTTGAATTGGGTTACTTTAACGCATATTGGGGTAACTTTTATTCATTTCAGGGGTAACTTTTAATCACTTTAGGTTATCTTTATAATGGATGTACAATAGTTATTGTACACCCAATTTTTTTAAAAGTTTGTGAAAAATTAAAGATGATACATAGGATATAAGATAGGTTATATGTGCATTTTTTATGTTTTTATGTTTGGATAAAGTTGTAAATTTTCTATGTTTGGATAAAGAATAATAAGAGTATTTTTTTTTGAGGAACAATAATAAGAGTATTATTATCACTTTTAACGAAATAATTAAATTTAGGAAAAGATATATTTTCGAAATAATAAATCAATTAAATTTAGGAAAAGATAATTTTTTAACTTTTTTAAAAAAAAATATATTTCCTCCTTAATTTTTTTTTTTTGACAGGATATTTCCTCCTTAAATAACGCTTCTTTTTCTCTCAAAAAAAAAAACTTCTTTTTTTTTTCTTAAAAAAATAACGCTTATTTTAATTTCAGAATTTTTGTTCCTAAAAAACAAATAAAAATCTATTTTAATAGTTACCTAATTTTTTTTTAACGTAAATCTCTATAATTTCAGTTTTTTTTGTTAATTAAACAAGTTAATCTATTTTAATATTTTACCTAAAATCATGCCATCACCTTCTCAATTTAATTTTATAACCTTTGAGAGCTTCAACCTTCAACAATGACATATTGTTTACATTTTAGAGTATCAAAATACAACAATGGCGGATATAATAAAACATGTGATATTTAGGGAAGGGAAATAGAGAGATGTGATATTTTTCATTTGGATAACAAATGAGGAAGGAAGGGAATTGGAGGGGAGAGAAATGAAAGGATTAAATTATAAGAAATCATCTCTCCAACAATGGAGAGATTTGGAAGGAAAACTCACTATTTTTTCCTCCCCTACTCTTCTCCTCCCTCCCCTTCTTTAATCTATCCAAACACATTGTTAGTCTGACAATTTTATATTTAAAACTTCAATGTTACTCTCTTTAATAATTAAGCTAGAGTGTGATCGTGCAATACTCCAGGTCATTATTATAATTATTTACTCAATAAGTTTCTATATACATAGCGCATAATTTAATAAAATAGTATTAAACAATACTACGCTAAAATAACAAATGGAAAGTATAAATAAACACCCTAATCAAAGTTAGATACATAATTTAAAGTGTTAAAAATAATAGTATAACTAAAAGTTGGCTAAGGCTAAGATGGTTAGGCTTTCAGCTGAATTATTGTTGGTCATTAAGCTTGTATGAAAGAGTCTCCATTATAGGGTGAGTTTAGGCTTGCCGAAGAGAGAGGAGTTTCAATTATAGGGTGAGTTTAATCCGTTGGGATAGTAAGCTTCTCGAAGAAGTCGAACATGTACTGTAAAATATTTTTGCAATGAAGTGAATGGAAATGGTGGAAGAGAGGTCGAAATGGCGGTGGTAATGGTGGTGATGATGAGGAAATTTTTTGATTGGGAGAGGCAGATAAGGAGGAGAGTGAAGGAGCTTGAGGAGATGAGTGTCGGAGAAAGAAAAAGCAGAGGAGTTTGAATCAGATTTTTATTTTGCACATTTTATTAAAAAAAATTGCACATTCAATACAAAAAAATGCATATAAAATCCTTCTCATTATATATATATATATATATATATATATATTAGGGGAGGGATCCGGTGAGGATAGGTACATATGTTAGAATTCATACTTATATGAGAACTGATCTATAATTTAGAACACGAGAGTAAAAATTTAGAACATGCGACTCAAATTTAAATTTAGAACATATGACTAATAATTTTGAACATGTGTGTGAGCAATAATTTAGAACATCCAATTCAAGAATTAGAACATGAGAGTAAAAATTTTAAAAATTTGCTTTATGAAATTTAGAACATATAATTAAAATTTAGAACATCTGATTTAAAATTTAGAACGTGTGAATAAAAAATGTAGAACACTTGGTATAAAATATAGAAAATGGGAGTAAAAATATTGAACATATAAGTAAAAATATAGAACATGTGAGTAAAAATTGGAACATATGCTTTCGAATTTAGAACATATAACTAAAAATCTTAGAACACATGCACGTTTTAAAATTTAGAACATATAAGTTAAAATTTCGGAATAAGTCATTCGAAATTTATAACATCTAACTTAACTAATTTATGGTTTAGAACATGTGAGTACTAATTTAGAACATTTGATTTAATTTAGAACACATGGGAAAAAATTTAGAACATCAGATTTAAATTTTAGAACATACGAGTAAAAATTTAGAACATAAAAAGTGTTCTCACATAAGAAAAATTCTCACCAGAGCTTCCCCATATATATATATACTACATATATATGGGGAGACTCTGGTGAGAAACATCACAATATATATATGAAGTAATTAATTGATGGGTGCAAACTAAACCAACCATATTAGTTTAGTTTTTAACCATATTATTATTCATTGTATTATTATTTGTACATGTTGAAATGAGGGAGTTTAGTGGGTACGGTGAACAAGCTGATTTATTATTATTATTATTATTATTATTATTATTATTATTATTATTTTTTTTTTTTTTTTTTTTTACAAGAAACAAGCTGATTAAAATCATTGGATTCCTCGTTACACATACTCTATAGTAGTAGTGTAGTACTATATATAGATTTTATATTAATCATTAACATATAAAATTATAAACCTTGCCTTTGCTTCTAATCAACCATTCGGGATCATAGATGATGAACCTAGCTAAACTAATAATACCGCCGTATATATCCGTAACTCCCTTCATTAAACTTCTACTCATTTATTATTCATATGGTCAATGTTTTTTTTCTTTGATCGTATTTAGTAAACTATATATTATATGTAAAACATAATCATATAAAATCTAGGTTAAATCCTCTTGTCAAAAACAAAAAGAAAAAAAAATTCAAATCTAGGTCAAATTCATTTCAATGTATATATAGTAAAAAAAAATATACATATACAATATATGCCTATTTATATATAGTAATTAATTATAGGGTAATGCTATATGTAGCCCTAAGGGCTATATATTAGCATTAAATACACTCTTGGAAATAGTATAAAAATAGGAATGATAAAAACAGGCGTAAATCAGTGTAATTAGTGTTTATATTTTGATGATTTCTTAACTTTTTACGATTTTCAAATGTAGATTTAATGCTTATATGTAGCCCTAAGGGCTATGTATAGCATTTTCCTTCATTATAATACTAATAATCAAAATTATGCATTATTAGAGATTTAGAGATAGTGTAATATGGAAATGAGTATAATAGTATTTTTTTTTTTTTTTTGAAACAAGAGTATAATAGTATATCAATTCATAAAAGGCAGGGAATAATATTAATTTCATTTTATATACTTGTATACATGAAGAAATCATAAACTAATAATAAATTTTTAAAAAGAAAAAAAAAATTAAATTGAAGCTGGCAATCTTTGAAAAAACTAAGTATATGAATTAATTATATGATATATTAACCTATGATTAAGAAAAATGCAAAGAATTCATAAAAGTTACGCAGCTCTAGGAAAGCTTTTGATAACAACATTAGAATCTAAACTGTACTAAGCCCTAATTGAAGATCCAAAGATTGACAGCTTTGTTTTGTAACAGGTTTCACTATAACAGGAGTACTATTTTCTGAAGTGCACCTGCTGCCACCATGCGTTACCGTAAACTGCTGGAAAGCCGCCGCCCTCGGCTTCTGGTGATCGTGTTCGTGTTCGTGTTGATAATCAAACTGGCCGAAGCTAATTTGAGATTCTTCATAAAGTGAAAAATTATGGTTTTCTGCTGGTGCATGATAATAAGATTTAGGATCAAAGTACCATAAAGCACCTGAAGAAGAATTGTTGTTTTTCTGTTGGTATGGTTGAAGGTAAAAATTAATACTCGCTTTTCGAGCTTGTAGTTGAAGCCTCTTCTTCTTCATTCTCTCCTTTTTATGGGCATTTTGATGGCCACCTAATGCTTGAGAATTTGCAAATTCTTTGTAACAATATTGACACTCGAATTTCTTATTGATTTCGATCTCAGTGGTATTGTTGTTGTTGTTGCTGCTGTTGTTGTTAGTTACGGATGAGCTTCTTTCACGATCACCCTGCTGGTTTTCTTTTTTATTAGAACCAGAGGAGATTGTGTTGGATGAATTCGTACTTTCTTCGTGTTCATTCATGTTCATGTTCATGTTCTCGGGATTTTTGTATAAATCGACTTCGAACCCAAACAATTTAAGCTTCTTTTCTACATAATATGGGCTACTCTCCATGTTATATGTTTTTTTTTTTTTTTTTTTTTTTTTTTGGAAAGGAAAGTATGATTAGTGTTTGTGTTTTTTTTGGCTGTTTCACTAATTTGGTGTTGTTTGTCCTTTGGTATAACCTTCCTTATATAGGACTACTAACGAGGCCGGTTTCGACGATGCGTTGCATCACAAGCAAACAAACCTTATGTTAGTTTAATTAACATGAATAGCAAAGGTCAATTTAAAAAAAATATGATAAGAGGAAGGTAGGAAAAAAAAACAAAAAGTCATATAAGGGAAGCTCATGTATGCATGCAAAATGGTATATTATATAGTTATTATATAATCTAAGGAAAAAAATTTGAAACTTTTGTATAAAATAATAGATACACCTCTAACTTTCACTATCAAAAGAGATTCAGTTGGTTTAATAATTAAGAAGAATTATGGTAGATAAGCATTATAATTATGAATTGATTAAACTTGCAATTATGGGACATCATGTGGAATAATTTAAGCTAATATTCCATGTTTAAAGATGTGAGAATGGTAATATAAAAATCATATTATATAGAGAAGTCAAAGAAAGATGGGGATGTAATCACCCTGGTTTATAGTTTAAGGTTCCTGTTGGTCTATAACAAATCTAGCATACTGTACTTAACAATGTAATTAAAAATTAATTATATATATCTTGACCAACTAACAAGCTAGTGGAGTCATGATATAATGTCATCTACCGAAAAGCTTATTATAATATAATATAATATACATAAATCTGAAATTAATTAATGCTACCTTATTAATTAATTTATTTGATTAATTAATAAACATCTACTTTAATTTGGTCTCTAGTCCCATCCACTATGTAGCTTCAAAAATGATGCATATTATTATAACCTATACTTCTGTAGAAGGTGTGATTATTCAGCACTAGATGAAGCTTCATTGAACTAATCAAACACAATGTCTAGACCTGTCAAATCGATAGATCAAGTTGGATGAAGTTGGTTTGTTTATTTATGGGTAGCTTTTGGATCAAAACACTTTAAAGTATAATTTTTTTAGGGTTTTGGACACGGGTTTTGGACTGGATTAATGGTTAATTATATTTAACAGCGACAATTGCCAAATCAATTAATCGTATCATATAACTTACATGTATGTCCTAATAATAGGACCTTTTGGATCAAAAAATGTTTATTTTAATTTTGTTTTCTTGGTTTGAACTTTGGGTCAAGTAACTATACTTGAGCGAGACCTATGATCAGGTCGGTTAACTAATTAGGTCAGATGAACTTCCATGTTGTACATACAACTTATTTTTATGGTAGCTTTTAGTCATTACTAGATGTAAGCCCGTGCGATGCACGGTTTTTAAATATTTCATTTTGTATATTTTTTTTTATAATTTCTTAATATTTTTTGCTGTTATTTTCTATTCTATTATTTTAACATTAATTTAAGGTTAAATATTTTGTTAAGTTTTAAATTATTCTTATTCAAATTTTACGTATATACAACTTGAATTTATAAATTGAAATAAATATTATCTCATTCATCGGATAGTTAGATAAAATCATTAAATCAAAATATATTTTTTAATTTCTATTTGTTAATTTTTTCTTAAATGGCGACTGAAAATTTAAATTCTAAAAATTAATATATAAATCTAATTTTTCATTGGTCAAAATATTACTTTTGCTTATGTGGCGTGCGATGCACGAATTTTCATATACATTTTGTATATAAATATTTTTTTGGTGATCTCTTAATTTTATTTTATTTTTTTTGCATTATAAGTTTTAAAATTTTGTATGAAAATATCATATCATCAGATATTTACATAAAGCCATTAACATCAAATGATAAGTTTTTTAAATAATATAAATCCTAATATCTAAAGATAATTTTTAGTTTTGTAACAAATAAAAATGATAAAATTTAGTGTTCTTAAATAATTAAAATCCTAATAAATTACTATTCGTCGTTTTTACCTACGTGGCAAAAATTTAAAATTTCATTCGTCACTTTTGTTTAGGTGGCGAGTGATTTTTTTAATTCTAAATAGAAATCTAATTTTTAATTGGTCGAAAATAAACCTTTTCTTATGTGGCGCTCCCAATGCTCTCCAAAAATGCTTACTTTATTTATATATATTAGATTATTCGGTTTTTTCAATTAGAACTTTGGGTCGAACTAAAATATTCAAAGCTCTAGATTTTATACAAAGATCACATATAAGTAACTCTATTTTAAATAAATAAATTAACAAAGAGAGCAACTTGAAGATGCTTATCTTTAAATTTATGACCATATATGTATGTGAGAAAAGCTCTTGGAAGAGCAGAGTAGTTGCTACAACAAGCTAAGGAATATTAAGAAGTGGGCAAATGATGTAAGCATAATAATTATATAGTATTACACTTTATATTATAATTATAAAGTAATAAATTACAATTTAGGAGGTCTTCGTTAAGATCTCAGCATATCTTCTTAAAGAAGGCAAAACCCATATTATATACCCAAATAAAAAGCATATGTTTATAGGTGAATCAAGTCATCAACTATTATTATTGAAATTGAAACAAAGTTATTTTTGTTGGACAGTTGTTCTTGTTGGACCCCATCTTTAGTTTTAGCTTTATTAAGGACATGAGAAAACAAATTAAACTAATTAGATTATGTTGTTTATTCTATTGTCTCTCTTGATTAGATCTTTTTCTTTGATTGGTGGAAATAGTCCACCAATTGGTTTCACATACTCTATCAATTCCCACTCTATTTTATTTTATTATTTATATATTAAATTAGTAATTTTATTTATAATTTTTCTTTCTTCCTATCTCCTTCATCATCTAATCTTTTCAATCATATTCAAATTGCTTTCTTCTTTATAAGAGAAAAATTCCAAATTAGAGTAGTGAGTATGTTGTCATTGACATGTGGAAGAATATTAGGATTATTTTTTAAAATAAATAAATAAATTTGTAAATAAGGGATGATTATTTGGATTAAGTTGGCTAGGTGGGTGGGTTGGTTGATTGATTTGATCTAATCTAATCTCTAATTTTCCTGTTAAACTAGAGGATCCTAAGATAACCCCACCATTTTATTAAGCCACATCAATTTTCCATTTTCCATATCATTTAAATACTTTTCCTCTAGACAATTCTTGTCACAAAAATTGTGTACCAAAATTGACCAGGTGAAACTTATACTCTTAAAAGCATAGATCATGTGATATATATATATACTTTAAGAAACATTGAACTTTGTCACATTAAGCTTAGTTATATGCATGACAATTTTTACTCATTGACATGTTACTATTCTTAGCCAAAGCAATTCAGTAAACAAGAAGCAAGAAAAGTTATATGCCGGTTGATCTTACCCTTTTATGTCTGTCAAATAAATTTCATAAATAATGACATGCCTAAATGTGTTTATGAAAGTTGTTGCCTGTCCTATGATAAGCTAAAGTAAGGGATTAGATGCATGCAATCTTACCTGACCTGATCTACATGATCAATACAATTATAGAAAGACATACCTCAAGTAAATTTTTAAATTTTACTCTCTTAAGCTTTGTACTTATATGCGGACTGATTGTTAGGCAATACGCATTTGATTAAGAGTCGTTTTATTTTGTAAAGAACAAACTTAGAGAATACCATAACCATCAGTATTCACTAAGTATTTTAGCTTCTATACATAGTACGTATGTAGATATACTGTGGTGTTCTTAGTTAAATATATTTTCAATGACCATATCTTAAATGTATAAGGATAATTAATCAAAGGTAGGAATGACGATATTAGAGTATACTTTGTACTTAATTATGTAAATTAAAGATTATCTCATTTCAATGTCCACAATAATTTTAACCCAAAGCATGCATCTAAAAAAAAATTGTCAAAAAAAAAAATTGCACTCTGTAAATATTTCCATTACAAATTAAAATCACCTCTAAATTTGGCAATGAATGTAGTAGAGTTAAATGATTAAAAAAAATTACATTTTAAAAGACTATGTATATAAATTTAAGGTATAACTTATAATGCATAATTAAGAGGGATAATTGACCTATCAAAGAAAAACAACATATCAAAATGTAGTTTTTTTTTTCTTTTTGTTTTTTTGTTGTTCAAAAATTATGTTTTGTAGCTTATAATTTGTCGACAAGTAGAAAGCATACACCATTACAGAAAAAATGAAGTATAAGGAAGATTAAATTGATCATGTTTACTTAGTCTATCACAATATCTATGAACTTGTCAAACTCAATAAAACGGCTCAGCTTTCTCATTCACATGTAAGGTGTATATATATAGGTACAAGAGATATTCCTAACCCTAACTAGAATAGGAATAAGATAAATATGAACATAATTAGGAAACTAAATATATTATACAATCTTTCCTAATTATTATCTCAACATCTCCCCTCAAGATGGAGCATGTAGATCTCGAATGCCCATCTTGTCAAGTAACAATTCAAATTGCGCCTTCCCTAAGGCTTTTGTAAAAATGTCCGCCAATTGAACCTTCGTAGAAACATACGATGGCTTAATAACTCCTTCTTTAATGACATCTCTAATAAAGTAACAATCTACCTCAATGTGTTTTGTCCTCTCATGAAACACCGGATTATTTGCAATATGAAGTGCCGATTCACTAGTAGAAAAAGGCTTATTTGCGTCGCTCATTTATAGTGTATTTGCGTCGCTTCTATGAGCGACACAACTGCTCGCGACGCAAATGACTTAAAAGTCATTTGCGTCGCTTCTAGGCGCGACACAAATAAGAGTCATTTGCGTCGCTCCTTTATAAAGGAGCGACGCAAATGACTCTTCTGATAAACTTCTTTTTTGTTATTTGCGTCACTCCTTTATAAAAGAGCGACGCAAATGACTCTTATTTGCGTCACTCCTTTATAAAAGAGCGACGCAAATGACTCTTCTGATAAACTTCGTTTTTGTTATTTGCGTCACTCCTTTATTAAGAGCGACGCAAATGACTCTTCTGATAAACTTCTTATTTGTTATTTGCGTCACTTGTTTATATAGGAGTGACGCAAATGACTGAGCAAACAATACAAAATTGATGTATTTGCGTCACTTGTTTGTTTAATGAGTAACGCAAATGAGGTGAATTTTTTTTTTTAATTATAATAATTGCCTTGTATATGTTTGTAGTACCTGTTTTCCTTACTAATGGTATAAAGTAATATGCTAACGCTAATATAATTGAAATTAAAATGCAATATTATTGAATAATGCAAATGTAAATTTCGGCAGAATCTCCTTTGTAATTTGGCCTACCCATAAAATTGGGAATGACGACATTATATTAACAACCTGTCCAATAATTTACATCTCAATATCATAGACATTATACTCATCATCCCAACACCAATTAACCAAATTCATTCATTTCAAGCCTATAATCCAAAACAAGAGTCCAACATGCGCTAAGTGTAAATCTAAAGTTCAACATTACATATAAAATACTCTGCCCAAATATCTCGAATCTCATTTATCTCCTCCTCGGTGTACGGTGTAGTTCTTGAAAAATCCTATCAACACAACAAATATACAAGAGGAAAGTTTTAATTCAAGATTGTAGCTAACATCATATCAAATTGTATTTATCAAACAAAAATGAAATATTTGACAACTCATACCTTAATAAGATCTTCACTGCTATGATGATGTTTCGTACATATAACGCATGACGTAGTAGCCACACTCACGTCCACCCAATTGTTGAGGACACTACATGTAATATATTTATAAGTTGAATTAAATCGACTACAGCCTAGGACTCAACATCGGAATGCTAGAGCTATAACAGATTAAGGTGAAGAAATTAAACAGTAGAGGAAAAATGTTAATTTAAGTTCATATTACCTAGCTTCTTATATAAGTAAGCTTCATCCTCGGTGGCGGAAAATGTTCTTTCATTACTCATGCTCTTCCGCAGTCTAGCTTGTGGTGTATCTGTGCTCCCTAGTCCCAATCCAACAGATAGAAAAAAATCTGCAGCAGGTTTACAATATGAACATTGTCAAGTTAATATATGTAGCCTGTGAAGCAAAATGTAAAAGGAATCATACTCTGCTTGCTATTATATTATTATCTTGCCAGAAATGATGTGAATTTTAGTACAAATATGAAATATTGGTTTTGAATTATGTTTATTTATTTATTGTTATTTAATATGTACTTCGTACAAGATATAGGTGTTTTGATTTGATCAGAAACAAGAAATGACCACGCTAAAATCAGGGTACTGATCAGCTCATAAATTCTTTTAAAACCTTCCTCTCTCACTTTGTTGTGGTCCTCTTCCACTTCCTTACTAAACCATTAATTCAAATTACCTACTTTTGCCTCATATATCTAGATTTCAATTAACACCACTCCTCAATAGGAAATCACAATCAAACCCCCCCTCCTCCCTCTCTTCTAATGACCTCACATCAATAAAAATCTTTTCGTATTTGGTTAAATTGCTATGTGATGTACCCTGGAGAAAATGTAAGTGGCCAAGACTATGGATAACTAAGCACTATAGGTTTAATGACAACTAGACACTTTTGTTTAAAAACTGATGATGCCCTACTCAAATTCTGCTACATAGCTGAAATGCAAGTTGAAATGCCTTCATGTACCAGGGAAAAAAAGAAAAACACAGAAGAGAAAAAATACCTAAAAGGACACAAGCTACTAGGCTACAATGCAACTAAATCATTAAGCAAAAGTTAAGGGCACTGCAAAATTATATACTGATTCAAGTAGAAGAAAAACAACAAGGTAATCAACCTGCATATGAAGGAGAAAACAATGCACATAGAAAAGCGCCTTTGTCGAGTAAATCTTTGCATGTATCAATCTCAAAAGAAGTCCTTAGGATATGCTCAGTAACCTTGCCAATGCCTCCAATCTGTCCGTAAAGCATATAAAGCAAACAAGTGATGAACAAATGTTCATGTTCACTACAAAATTCAATAGGTTTTACAATTTACATTTATTGCCTTTCATAACATTCTAAATTACAGAAAAGATACCAAAAAAAGTAAAAAGTAAATAAATTGGGGAGGCTCATAACAAGTACCTTTCTTATTGGGAGGGAAGATATGAAAGTCATGATAAAAATTTGATCATTTGGCAAAATAAATTGTCCATTTGGCTTATTTATATCTGAGCAAACCTAAAAATCATACAATAAACACAAATCCCGAGAATTTATGTCAATATCACAATACAAAACAGGCATACATCAAAGAGCAGGGCATCCAAATCTGCTATTTTCAAAGTTGGTAGAAAGTTTTTTGCACATTTAAAGATGTAAATTACAACCTAACATTGATAAAGAATCCTCAAAAAAAGGCAGAGTACATTGTAGCTCATATTTTTAAATCCCAAATAGAAGTTATATGCAAAACAGATTTGATCACATCTTTAACAGAAGCTAGACAAATAACACTCAATCCCAAAGTCAGTCAATTATTGAAAGAGGGAACCCTTGGGTTTAGCTTTCTATAGGAGGTTTTTAAATTACGTTCTACTTTGGCTTCATTTATATCTAATAAATAAGATACTCAGGGCTTTATTTTGATACCACAAAACTTTAAAACAGGAAGGCTTATAAAGCTCAGTGAGAACAAGACTAAACACATAGAACTAGTAAAGGTTGTCAAAGAAAAGTGGGGAGCCACTATGACCAATTACATGAATAATATAGATAGCATATCTGCTACTTGGGCTGCCAATATTTTTCCATGAAATCATTTTACCCATTCAACTACGAGAAAAAACAAGTGGATGTTAAAAAAAGGTTTTGGTAAATTTGGCATTATCTGTAAGATCATAATGTGCACAAAGTCGTTCCAAGAAATATAAGTAGTGTACCATTATTGATTATTCCAAATCATCAGATGCACAAAATGATAGCAAAAACTCCATAAAGGCGTTAAGCTGAGGGAAGGAACATATCCAACTTCCTAATTATAGGACAGTGTTGAGACTGTCGACCTTAACAATGATGAACATCATTTTGATAGGCAAGTTCCATTTTAAGAACACCTTATTACAGAGTACATCTTAATCTTTTTCACTTCAGCAGCTCAAAAGTAAATTAATAGACTTCTATATACTAAGCATGAAACACATAATCTGCAAAAAGAAAATTCTAAAATTTGTGCAAAAAATCACAACAAAATAGTAAAATTAAACTAAGGTCAAGCAAAATTGAACCCTAAATTCCATCTGCTAGTTTGAAAACAGTAGAAAAAAAGAACAGATCTTACCTTCGTTGAAATCGACTACATAAATTTCACCAAACTAGAACCAAAATTCCTTAGAATCAAGTAAAAAACCATAAATTTCTTTGATGAACCCTAAATTCGAAAACGAACCCAAAAAATTTGTTATACAGAAATCTGCTTGTAATTCTAAAATTCGTGCAATTCATTTACAATTAAACTCCAAATATCTATGTAGATTGAAAATAAGATAAAGAGATGAAGAGCTCTTAAATCGGATGAAGCAAGCTTGCAACTTCTGCAAAAGTAAGCCAAAATCCCATAGAATCGAGTACAAACCCTAAGTTTCAAATAATCGAAACAAATTGCAACTAATTAAAAGAACCCTAAATTTGAAACACAAACTTTAATTCTCTCACAATTTTGTGGGGGTTTTGGGTCGATCTTTTGCTCGAAAAATAGTGGGTTTTGGCTCGAATATACGGGTTTTGCCTACAATTTGTTGGGTTTATCGATTAGTGGTCGAATTTGTAGGTTTTGGGCTCAAATTTTCGAGGTATAGCTGTTGAATTCGCTGGTGTTTGCAGGTGGAATGGCAGCGCTGGGGAATTCTAGGGTTTTACTGGATGAATTTTTTAGGTTTTGCTGTTAGAAATTTTGGGAATTTTGGGGTTGAATTTGCTGAGGGTTTTGAAGAACTTCGAACGGCAGCGTAAGTTTTTATTTCATTTTTTTGTATACTGAATAGTCATTTGCGTCATTTATCAGGAAATAAGTGACGCAAATAACAATAGTATATGCGTCGCTCCTATTTATAAAAGCGACGCAAATATAAATAAGCGGGAATGTATCAGACTTTTGCTTCGCTTTATAGCCAATGTCCGACGCAAATTACTTATAATGAAGCCAAAATATCTCATTTGCGTCATTTATTTCTACAAGTGACGCAAATAAGGCGACGCAAATGAGCATTTTTCTACTAGTGATTGACTATCACAGTACATGTTCATACCTTGTTTATGTTCTACACCCAAGGATCGAAGGATTTGTTTCAAGTGTTTCAACTCACATGTCAACATTGTCATGGACCTATACTCGGCATCAGTGGAACTTGTTGCTACTGTTGGTTGCTTTTTAGTCTTCCAAGACACAGGTGATAGTCCAATAAGTACAAACCAACCAGTCAACGATCTAGGAAACAAAGGAGTTAAACCAACTCACTGTATTTTGCGGAAAAAAAATTGATTTCGGAACCTAAGCTCTGATACCATGTCAAACTCAATAAAACGGCTCAGCTTTCTCATTCACATGTAAGGTGTATATATATAGGTACAAGAGATATTCCTAACCCTAACTAGAATAGGAATAAGATAAATATGAACATAGTTAGGAAACTAAATATATTATACAATTTTTCCTAATTATTATCTCAATAGAACTAATACTAAAACAAAAGTTATTGGCATCATGTCTTCTCCGAATTGTATACATGTCACCCTGACATAAAAAAAATTCCCGCCAATTTGCTATGGTGATGCCATTAGTTTTTTGTTTTTTACCTTTATTTTTTATCTAATAAATCTTTTATATGCTTTATTTTTAGTCCCTACCAAGTCTTTTTTTTTTTACAAGTATATTAATATTTCAATGTTCAAAATTGTTAGTTGTGATTATTTATTTTCCGTATTATAAACAAATCTTACAATGTATTTATTTAAACCGTGCATCGCACGGAAACTAAACTAGTCTAACATCAAAGTATAGTGCATATCTTGACTTTATTATAAATGGACTCAAAGTAATGCTAATCAGTATTATTAAACCAAACACTTGTACAATTAACCCATAAAAAGCTAATTAATTAGGTTCTTTAATTAATCAACAGTAAAATAAGGTATAGAAATGACATTAATTATTAATTAATTACAAAAACATCAACCAATGAATGCAAACGTAGCCTTACATGATTGGCCCTAGTAGTGTTTGAAAAGAGATGGGGACAATGAAGCAACGATATGATGTTCTTAGTTATCACATATATTCTCGCTTTCATCATGCACAGTCTTAGATACCAATGTGCTAAGCCAGATAATTGTTCTAGTTGGTGGAAAAGGAATATTTAGCTTAATATTAAGGAAAATTTGCAATTAAAGGTATTAATTGCATGTTATCCATCCAGCATGTGCCACGTTATGTATCTACTTATATAGAAAAAGTCAAAATATCTAAAAGCACACTTCTTTTCGGGGGTGTTATATACCGCCATCCAAAATTATCAAAACCGCCAACATTTAGTGTGAATTGACAACCATACCTTTAGTACTTTCACCACTATTTTCCCTTTTGCCACCAATCACTAACACCTTGACACCACCACCCCAATTAATGACTAACACCACCACCACACTGACCGGCGACGACGACCACCACCACAACCACCCTGACCGGCGACCTACCACATCCCCCTCAAAGATGACCCACCACCTTCCCTCTTTGGCGAAAAGGTGGTGGTTTTTTTTTTACAACCGTACCAACCGGAGCTCAAAACCGGTTACCAGACACAATAACCGGTTTTGGGCTCCGGTTACCATGGAATTGGTTAAGGTGCACGGTAATCGGAGCCCAAAACCGGTTATCGTGCGCAGTAACCGAAACCCAAAACCGGTTACCGTGCACGATAATCAGAGCCCAAAACCGGTTATCGTAAAAAAACATATATTAAACCACCACCTTCTTGCCGGCGAGGGAAGGTGGTGGGTTGTCATAGAAGAGGGTATGGTGGGTCGCCGATCAGGGTGGTGGTGGTCATCGCCGATCAGAGGGAGTTGTGGGTCGCCGGGACGATAAGGAATGGTGAAGTAATAAGGGTACGATTGTCCATTCACACCGAATGTTGGCGGTGATGATCATTTTTGTAGTCGGTGATGATCATTTTTGTAGGCGGTGTGTAGCCTTCTTTTCACTTTGTTACAGCGTTTTGATATTTATACTTGTTAATGCATCACAATTAACTTAGGGTCTGTTATGATACGATTATTTTCAGTTCAACTTTAATAAGCTCAGTTCAGTTCAACTCTAATAAGTTCAGTTCAATTCAGATCCTAATTTCCTTCTCTTATAAAATATTCATTTTAGTTCACTTCAGTTCAACTCTAATAAGTTCAATTCAATTCAATTCACTTCAGTCCAGCTCTTATCAATTCAGTTCAGTTCAGTTCACCTCACTTCAATCAATGAGAACATGCCCTTAAACAGTTCATCTCGAAAAACAAATCTAACATCACATAAAACTATATTTTGTGCAAAGGCTTAACTTTGTCTATCTTATTTTCGTTTATTTTAGAAATTATAAGTTCATATAAGTTTAGAGCTGATCAAATTTCTATTTTAGAGCATTTTGTAATTATTAATAATTAGCCTTCTCAAGCAATATAAGTTGTCATTAGAATGCACTCTAGTATTACTTTTGGAAGAAACATTAGTTTGCTGGGTGATCAATTAACACCTCTGAGTGATGATTTACCACTTTTGAATTCTCCTTAACCATGGGGGATAGGTATGTAATTTGGCTTTGGTTTATGACACCTATTACTACTTTAACCTAAATCTAATCTAGTTTACTTATTACATGTAGGGTGACAAGGTCATGGCCTCAAATCTTATCCACCCTTCCTTTTAAATAGAATATTTAGTGCTGGACACATTAGGAAGCTTATGTTGCATCCATATTTCTAGTACAGCAGACTCTCATGTGAGTGGATTTGATAAGCTAAGGTATATAAATCAATATTGAGCCTCAACCATAAGCTTAAACTTTTAATTAAAATTGGCTCTCTAACATAAGCAACAACCCCATATAAGTGTGGTTTGGTCTAGATTCTCAGGCTAGAAACCACAGCCGGCAATCATCCCTGGAAAAAGAAAATGAATAAATAATGAAATGTAATAATGATGATAATTATTAATGCTTAATATTAGAGTATTATTTAAGTACACTGTTGACTGACTTATATATTGGCTAGTTTTTTCAAATACAATTACACAAGTTCCAAATACAGAAATAGGGTTTGCATATTGTCCTTTATTCTAAAATTAGAGCCATTGATCAATTAAGAAATTCTATTTTTAGCTAAAGGAGAAAACATATTAAAATAGAAATTATGGATGGACTGCCCTTTAGTGCGCTTTCCCTGCATGGCAGTTCACAATTGCATTTGATAGCTACAAGATTTACAAGCGAATATAAGTTTTGGTAAAAATAAATCAATGTAAAATAAATTCAAAATAGATTAAATCAGACAAGATAAATTTAATTCAATTAATAAGTTTAGATAAGATAAGTACAAGCGAGAATCATAAACTAAATATTATAATACATAGTATTTTGGAACTCTTTCCAATAAACAAAAAAGAAAAAATGGTGCAATTGGATTGGCCGCATATTTGTGAGTTTGAAAGTAACTCTACTCAAGCTAAGGTAAGAACAAATAAGCTAAGTTGCATGAACACCTAAGTTAGAGGTACTTTGTCTTATCAATAAGCTTCTTAACTATATACTACGTATATAGTTTGAAAAATGAGGGTAGTTTGAAAAATGAGGGTAATTGACAATAATGTAACCATTCTTCGTCTTTTTGCAATAGGTTCTAGCTTGTTTGGTCTCTAGGTATTCGGCATGTTCCAACAAGAAGATAAGAGCATAAGACTTTGCATGTTTTACACTAATTAATTTTTTTTTAACTATTGGTGAAATATTACATTATTGGTAAATATACATAAATAAGTAAAATACAAGTTTCTTTCAAATTAGTCACATAAGTGATTAGAATTTGTCAATAAATTTTTTTCCATGGATGATCCATGCATCTGTTTTCTAAAAAAAAAAGCGGAATGAACATTTAGTTGTTCAGTAAAGAACATACAGTTGTTTTGTAAAGAAAATATAGCTATTTTATGAAGAACATCACATATATATTGTTGTATTATAATGAACATATAGTTGTTTTGTAAAGAATATATAGCTATTTTGTAAAAAAAAAAAAAAAAAAAAAAAAAAAAAAAATTCCAACTTTATGTTCTTTATTATATATATGTAAGGAACATCCGTCATATTAATAATAAACATGACAATTAGAAGTGATCACTTTAGCCCGGCCAGATCTGACCAGAAAATAGGGCGGGTTTGGACAAACCTAAAAATGCATTTACCTAAAAATCCAAACCCGATCCGAAAAGCCCGCTACATTTTCCGGGTATGGGCACGAGATATTATGTTAAGGCTCGGCCCGACCCAAATTTTTGATCTCCTCTAATGATAATATAATGTAATGAACATTATTTTTATTCAACCAACATAATTTAAAGACAAAATTCAACGAACATTTCAAAATAAACAATTAACATTATATCACAAATAAAAGTAGATTATACTGACAATAATAGAATATGAAGATTAAAAAACATTATTTAACAGCATGTTATGTTCTTTACAATTATATAACATGTTCTTTTCACTTTAAATGATTGTTCTTTATATTTCTATTAGGTTAAATCCCGTGCCATGTGATTAGGGGATTTTGCTCCCACCAATCGGAATGCGCCACGTGGGCCAATCAGGTCCTGCCAAGTGTCCCCCAGTTGGAACTGTCAGGGCTTGCCACGTGGCACACGCTTATTCGTCCACCTTGGACCTATTATGTCATGACACGTGGCATACTCCATGCCTAATGGAGAAACCGGCCACCCAGGCCCAACTTCCGAGGAAAGCCCAATCAGCCCAAGGTTAACCTAAACCTAGGATTGACACGCTTCTCAAAGACTATAAATACTTAATTAATCCTCA